CAGCAACGTCTTCCGATATATCGTCCAAACGCCGTGCAGTGGTGTCGTATGATAGCAATCGGGAGCCGTTGATTCTAATAACAAATGTTCTGTTTCTGGTTCTGGTTCTGGTTCTGGTTGCAGTGACAGTAACAAATGTCAAAAGCGTTCCGAAAAAGGCCACTTCGATAAACACAAAATAGCAACTCGCACCAGAGCTCAGAAGGCCGTGTCGGATTTGGAAGCCGAAAGCCGAAAGCCGAAAGCCGAAACCTGAAGCCACATAATCGGCCGAATATTTATTTTTTCTTGTGTGACGTTTGGTGAAAGTTTGGAAATGGCTTTTTCTGGCCGCAAAAACAACTGCGAAATGGATTTAACCGAGGAGGAGCTCGTAAGTTGACCAAAAACTATGGAATCTTGTTATTAAATCTACATAAACATTTAATGGATGCATCGCAGCAGAATTATGAGCAAAATGACTCGAATGGAAATCGCTTGCACGTGCAGGAGCGTACAATCCCATTTTTTGGACTCGTCAGTCGCCAAGTTGAATTTAATGAGCAGAACCAGATCCTTCGCGCTACACGCTGGGCAATTTCGCAGAATAATCAAACAGCTGGGCAACGGGACAACTCGAACTCGGACTTTGATATTAAAAGCTGGATGAAGATGCAGGATAATCTGCCAGAACTGGAAAAGAATAAATATAAGCACGATAACATCAAACGCTGGGTAATTTCACAGGAGAAATACTTACAGCAGAGGTCCAATGAGATGCGCCCATCGATGAATTAATTGAAGACGAAGCTGAGAACATGTAGAGGCGCGCTGACACTAGACGCGGCTAGATTTCGGAGGGGAATTAGTGTGTAAATTCGAAGACATCTACAGGGAACATCCAATGCCCATCAATTAGCACTAATTAAATCCTCGTTTGTTGATGGTTTACACTGGTATATGACAATGTTTATTATTACACATTAATATGTTTTAGGAATAAACATTTTAAATGTGAAACTAAATCTTTTCATGTATTGGAATCGTTCATAAAGATCCTTTCGAATATGTTGCATTTTTTTGACGTTTTTTGTTCATATAAGCCCCTTCTTAGCATTATGCATACACAGAGTATATGGTATATGGTATAGGTATATGGTATAGACGATAAATACATACAAATATAAACAATAGGATAACAAAAAAGAAACAAAGAGCGGATTAGGAGTAGAGAGGAGTACATAACATTAGGATAACAGATCGTACAACTCTTTTGTTTGTTTAACAATAATAATAATAATAATAATAATAATAACAGCTAAAGGACTCAATGCCTTATCGACAGACTTGCAATCAGTTGCATATGGGTAAGGATATGGATGGGTATGGGTACTGCCGCCTGGCTATTACTTCTCTCCGGAAGTGCTTGATCCTGCCGCTCCAGGTGCACCCGGCGCTGTGGGCATGCTGCTCTTTCGCTGTGCCTGCGAGATCTGCACAATTCTCGACAGCGGTGAGTGGGTGCTGCTGGTGCTGGGTCTGGCACCCACTGGCAGGGGCAGCAGTCGCGTGGCTGATGCCTCGTCCGCCGCTGTGTTGCCAGTGTTGTTGTTGCCTCCGCCTCCTCCTGCTGGGGGCGTTGTGGGCGACAGTTCGCGTGCCAGCGGCGAGGGACGCAGCGAGAGGCGACGCTGCAGTGCGGACTGCTCAATCAGGCTGGCACCAGGTGGCGGCGCTTGGCCCGGTGGTATCTGCAGTGCCGTTGGCCGCACACTGAAGCGGCGGCGGAACTTGCTTGTGCTCGAGCCCAAAACAGGAGTCGATGAGGCGGCCGCACCTTGATTCTGCATCTGATTCTGACCGCTTGCCCGCTCCGTGTAGCTTGGCGGTGGCTCCAGTATCGATCTGCCTGTGCCATTGGGCGACATGGTGCCCACAATGGTGGAGCGACGAGCGTACAGACGATTGGCGGCAGCCGCTTGCAGGGAGCGCGTCTGATCGCCGGCAAAGAGCGACAGTATGGGCGGCAGCTGGGGCGGATCGAGGCCGGCATTGCCCATTTTGCGCTGCTTTCGGCTGCCCCCCAGTCTGTTGCCGCCCGCTGATGAAGCCGCCGTTGCCGCCTGCTGTTGCTCATCCAGTACGGCGTGCGTGTGGACCACCTCGAGGGCTCGTATGAGATCCGCTATGGTGGTCTGCTCCAGCACGTTCATATCCTTCTCCGAGGTCACCGAGAAGATGCTCGAGCGACGCGGCGCACCCATCGAGGCCAACGACGAGGACGTGCCCGTGGCCGGGAAGAGACTGCCACGTCGGGCTGCCACTGCTGCCATTGCCGCCGAGCCCGAACCGCCGATGGCCAGGCTGCCGCGACGCATCTGAGACTGAGACTGAGACTGGGCCTGGGCCAGGGCTGCCGCTGCTGCTGTGGGCGGATACATGCTGCCCCGTCGACCGGCAATTGCCGGATTCTGGGTGTAGATGCTCTCGCGGCGCCGCTTGCCAGCTGCCGGCGGACGACGCTGGTACGCTCCAGCTCCTGCTCCCGCCGGGAGCGAGGCCTGCTCCGAGTCGTCCAGATGGAAACCCAGATTGGTCAGGCCGCCGGCGGAGGCGAGGCTGCCATTCGAGTCGAAGGGCGGCGGCGGCGGACCGCGACCATTCCGCATATACGACTGGCCGGAGGCGGCGGTGACCGTGTTGTTGTAGTAGTCGAGTGGCGAGCGGGAGGAGGGCAGGGCGGTGGCACCCTCCGGCACCGAGACAACGGACAGCTTCCGCTCCAAGTCCTGCGAGTGGCGCTTGCGCTGAAAGGGAAACAGTCGACGCAGGCCATCCGGCATCGAGAACTTCTTGACGCGCCCGGCACCGGGTGTCGAGCTGCTGGCGCCCTTTTTGAGCTGCTCCTCGAGGGCATCCGGCTCCAGGTGCACCATGGATGAGGCGCCACCGTTGGCCGCATGTCCCTTGTAGCGATTGTTGAATGCCTCCTGAATCTGCTGATTGTCGCCGCTCCAGGTCCACTCGTTGTGCGAGGCACGCAGCGGACGCTCGCTCTTCCAGTGCGGCGGATCGATGTTGAAGTCGGAACAGGCGCGTGCCCGCTGGCGACGGTGTGTCGGCGGGGCCGAGAACTCATTCACCGTCGAGAAGGACCATTCGCTGGCCATAATCTGTGAGTCAGAGAAGCCATGGTAGCCCCCATAGAGGGCTGGGTCCTCCGTTTCCGCCGCCGGCGGTGGCTTCACAGTGGCCAGCGCACTGACAACCTTTGCCAGCAGATCTGTCGTCTGGCGATATGCCTCCGCCGTCTCGAATGTCTTCTCGCGATCCAGCTTGCTCAGCTCCGTGTCGGAGCTGGCGTGGATCATCGTCGCCGATGCCGCTGCCGCATCCTGGGCCGCTGCCAAATCGGCGCACACCGAGAAGGCGCGCTTCCTGCTGGGCAACGGTGCCGGCTCCACGCGGTACATGCTCAACTCCGGACACGAGGCGGAACGTGGCATCGTATAAGCAAACTCCATATCCGTATAGACAGGCTGTAAGTAGATTGAATGGGATTAAAGTTTGACTCTTCGAATGCGTTGCTTGGTTCTGGGCTGGCACTGGCTACGGTTTGGGTTCCTCATGGGTTTCCTGTTTCCGGTTTACTTACGCCAGACCCACCACCTGCTGCTCCACCTAGTCTTCTGCTCCTTCTGGATCTTACTAATCTTATTATGCGGCTTCGCTCTATTTCCCTTTCGACAAAACTAGAACAGAGAACAACATCTTGAGTGATTAACCAAAAACCAATTGAACGATTTCATATGCCGCTTAGTACAAAAAGAGAACATCACAAGTTCAGCCACGGCACTACAAAGATTAGACAGATATTCGTCCCATGGGACGGGACATTTCTTAACCATAAAATTAAACCCTATTTAATTGTATTTGTATTTCAGTTTGGTTAGTCCCATAAGTTAGTTTCAGTCGTATTTTTCGCCTGTAATTGCTGCATAAATGCCCCATAAGTGAATGGACACAAGCAGCAACCATTTAAAAAAAAACGAAGAAAAATTACAAATAAAAAATAAATAATAGTAAAATAAATAATAATAAAAAAAAAAATGATATATGCAATTTTGCTCCACATTAATTAAGTTTTATAAATAAAATTTGTGTTTCAATTTCAGTTGCTCCCTGTGAACTTTTTGGGGTATTCCATGGAACGGAAATAGTTTTTTCTGGCAAACTTTGCCAATCAATTTTGCTAGCGTTAGCGGCAGAGTGTGACCAGAGGTGTCAACAGTTTGCAAACCGAAATTCGCCTTGGAACTTATTTGAAAACCCTTTGTATGTTAATTTATGTTAATTAATGATTATGTTTAGCCCAATTTTAGTAGATTCCTTACGTTCGATTACTTCATGATTAAGATCCCCAATGATTAGTTAGGCTTAAACCTAAAACAGTGCTAGCCCATATAGATATATGATTGATTGATTGATTGATTGTTCTGCTTGTTTGATTTGTATACCTTCACTTTGAGGATATAGAGCTCGTTGAGCATGCGCCTGAGGTAGCCAACATCCTTGGTGACGCCCGTCCAGATGCGATTCTGTGTGGCCTTCAGATTGGAGGACAACTGCTGCTCCAGATGCGCCAGCTTCTGGCTCTGCAGTCCTCTGTTTTGGTGTTTTGATGATCGAAATGCAATGCAGATTTAAATTGTAGATGTTTGGGTGTGTCACCAGATATTAAGGGGATAAAGATAGAGATACCGGTTAGGATCATGCAAACGACAAATAACGCAACGAAAAGACATGCGAAGGGGGCGGGTAGTTGTTCTGTTCCTTGACACTTACCGTGTGATAAATGTCATGATCATGACTAGATAGCCCAACGAGAAGATGAACCAAACGATGACAAAGATCTGATAGACCACGAACCAGCCACCAAATTCGCGCGGCTATTCGGAGACAATTTTTTGGTTGTGGATAATTGAAATGATTTCAAATGCAAACTCAAATGAACTCACCTGATTGGGCCCAAAGGTGGGCACATAGTCACCGAATCCAATGGTTGTGGTCGTCACATAGCTGTAGTACAGCGAAATGGAGTACGGCCAGTTCTCGAAGTAGGTGAAAACCCACGAGGGCAGCAGCAGGAACAGAGCTATGCCCGGCACCAAGGCAATCACAACGGTGGTGATCAGACCCAGCTGCGGCGGCACATAGTGCATATCCGTGGTCATCTTGTACTTCTTGTATCTGCGATAGATGGCCTCGAACTAAGGACAAGACGAGAAAGGACAGATGTAATGATGTAATAATCGATCGAGGGACTTACTCACCGTTCGTCCAAAGTACTCGCCCAAGCCGGCAAAGAGTATGCCATTGACGGGTATACCGATCACCGAATATACAATCATTATCATGCGACCCGCAAATGTGGTCGGTGATATGTTGCCATAGCCCACCGTTGAGCAGACGGTGAAGGCAAAGAAGAACGCATGATAGAAGGTCCATGTGAATGGCACCTCATGCTCATCCTTCTCGACATCCGTCACCGGTTTGCCACAGTACTCCGATATCCGTTCGAGTATCTCATTCTGTGTGCTCACATTCTTATCCGACAACTCTTCCACCAGATATGCTGCAACAAAAAACAAAAAAACGAAACTCAGTCAGGCGTAAAATCAAATTAAATTTAATTTGTTCAACGATTCAATCCAATCCAAGCCGAACCAATCCAATCCGGAAGTAAGCGCTCGCTCTTCCGCCTTCCGCCGGGAACAATGAGGCCCAAAATCCAAATTGATTCCGCCATCAACGTGTGATGGGGTTGCCGCTGCCGCTTAACGCTTAACCCTGGCCCCCAACAAACGTGGAACGTGAAACGTGCGACATTTTACACTAGACCCCGTGGAGATCCCCCCAGCAAATGTAACGCTATGATGTCACCAGTGCGACGACTGCCCTGCTCTTTGGGTTGATTGAAATGCGCTCGCTGTGTGTGTGTCTGACCCACGAATGACCCCCCCATCAGGGCACTGAATGTGCGATTCGTGCCGAGCATTGAGAGATTAGCGATCTGGATCTTGTGGGAACACAGCTACTAATGGCACATTATATCTCGAATATTTTTTGGCAGATAGATAAAGCGATCAATGAAGGTTGTTTGATTGGACATTGATCACTGATCGTTTAGGAATCTTTTACAATCGATTGCTCTGCTGATCCCTTAATCAGTGACCAGATTAATTAATTCGCGAACTTAGACTCGTGATCGGCTCGAGATCAGCTCGCGTTCATCAGGATTGCTTCTACAGTCACTGGTTCAACACACTCTCTCTCAGCATCATTCGGCTGATTGTCCAAGTGCAATCATTCAATAAACAACCGCCCCGGTAATCTTTTAACGAATTGCATAATTCAATAAACGCAGCAACAAAGGGATTTCTGTAAGTGCAGTGGAGATCTGACTGGGATGGTACCCGACGACTGCCACTCCCAGCCTGTCACTCTCTCTCTGAGGCGAGCGCCTGATCCAATCTGTTGATCACAACGGGGACACAATTGCGGGCAATTCAGATATTAACAGACAGCAAGTGCATTATATATCCGCCATATACTTAGTGCTGTTGGGTGCTGGCTGCAATTTAATCGGCTTTTGTGTGTAGTAGTCCCCAGTCCCCAGTCCTCGCACTGGATCTTGATTGCCGGCAATTTGTTCATAGAAGTCGATCATTATCTTGATTTCTTGCTCTTGCCTCAGCAAAGTTCTCGCCTTTGCCTTTGCCTTTGCCTCGACTCGAGGGCGTTTGAATCTGATTATCGCAATGCACAACAGCCAGGAAAAAAAGTTTGTGGCAAACAAATTGATAAATTAATTTAATTAACGCTTGCAGCGCCCTGAAAGCAGTCCAGAGTGCATCCATCATCATCATCATCATCCCATTTCGAGGTCGAGATCGAGGTCAAAGATGCAGACGCTAATGTTGTGTGTCTATTCACTTATGGGCAATTTGTAGAGTGCAACAACTAATCAGAGGACAAGGGCTGAGGCTGAGGATTAATGCCAAATTCTACAGAAATTCTGTGATTGTTGCGGGAGCTTCCCCCCCTAGGGAGTGCCCTGTTCTTATCTGCTCTATCAGTTGCTCAACTAAATGCCGCTGAAGACGACACTTCATAGTCGTAGAGAAACAACAGTCGCATGGTCGTAGTCATAGTCATAGACCCCATGGTCTTAGCGATCGTTCCATTCAAGTGCTTATTTTTTCAGTCATTCGAGTGATTATGGCTAACGGTGACCAGAGGCCCAGTGGCTTTGGCTGATAAAAAACAAAAACAAAGCCATGTCCAATGCGTTGGATACTTTGGGGATTAGTTGGGGGATTTTGTTGGATAAAGTCGTATCAGGAGGTAAACCCTTGACAGTTCGTTACACTCCATCGAGCGATCGACCGACCTACACTTTATGACCGAATCGAGACTGTGTATGCATCAGGTATCAGTGATCCATGATCCATGATCCGATTCGTTTCGTTTCGATCCACAGACACGTCTTGGGTCGATGGTTACTAATTAGAGCGCTTATGGGTTATTTATTTGCATAATTAACACATTTTATGGGCCGTTTAAATTCGGATTTATTGCAATTGAAGAGCCATGCAAATACAAATACAAAATGTATGTAAATATGTATTCCCGAGACGAGATTGCGGCTCGATTTAGCGTCTAGATAGTCTCATGTATCCAATAATACCACTGACTCGTCGTGTGTCGTGGTCGCATTATTGCCAATAGACCTGTGGAGTCATAAACCTCACACTTTACTCCCAACATTTACGCACGTTTTGGCACACAGAAATTAGACCAAAAATCAGCTCTAATTTCAGTTGATTACTTCATACTAGGCAAAAGAACGCCGCAAACGACCGAGGGGCACTGTTGCAAGTTGCGCGAAATGTACCAAAAAAATGTATACAAAAAGTTGGGCAAAGCTACATGAAAATATATCCCTAAACATAAAATTCTTAGGAATATTCCTGAAATGTTCTCTGGATATTTTGTCAATCCAAAGTGCTGCCACTGCTCGAATTGAGCACCACAAGCGAACAACATAACTGTCGTGTGCACAACGCGATAGTGCACGTCTTCATCTTCAGTTTCAAAGGGAAATCTCGAGCGCGTGTGCGTGGGGGCGTTTTTCGTGGCAGACTATTTATCACACACGATCACGAGGCTTATGGATAATGGCTTATGTCTAGGGGTAACTCTCTCTCACCATGAATTTCGACGCGCTCTGCGAGATCCGCCTTGCGTGTCTCCTTCTCCTCGCCGTGCTCGATGTGATAGTAGATGGCAGCACCGAGCATCAGATATGAAATGTAGAAGATCAGCAGCAGAATCCATCGATTGGGCGACATGCCGTCGCTGTCGCTCTATCTGTCTGCAAATGTAGAAGCCACAACGTTGATCTATAATCTACTATTATGCTGATTATGATGATGATGCGGTGTCCAGGTTGTCCAGGTTAGGGAATGTGAATCGAAGGGGGCTGTTCCTTGTCTTGTTCTTGCCGCTATTTATTGTTGTATCTGGCTGCTAATCGAAGTCTGATTGCGATTGCTCCCAAGTGCTTTTGGCCAGTTGTTGTCTCTCTATATGTACGATTATGTACATGAATGTATTGTGACGATTGCAAAAAACGCGAGGCACATACTCGTCGCACGCTACTCCACACCAAGCGGATCTTATGAGTTTTCTGTGTGTTTCCCTCAAAGAACAGAACATCACTCGCTGGGTGCACCTATGCTTGGCTCACTAAGGATATATCAACTTCGTTGCAATCGCATTGCTGGACACGCAGCAAAAAAAAAGCACGCGCTTCCCATCCCCTGTCAAACGATCGGGGGCATGCTCCCTGTCTTCCATCGTCTGGGCGCTACGTCATCGCTCTTCTAACGTTTACACCTATTGACACTTCTAATCATATCGCCCAAAGGCAGGCAGGCAGGCAGGCAGGCAGGCAGGCAGGAAGGTAGGTAGGCGGACGGGCGGGCAAGGTACTATTACTGCTAATTTCTACAATTTCTCGCATTGCCGAGTAGTCCGCTCTGCCGATTAGCAACACAGCCACAGAGACGTCTCCCCCAACATCTTGGAACTCTGTTATCTCTAAATATATATATATAAATGTAGCTATATGTATATAGGGTATATTCTGGAGGTTGCTTGCAGCTCTTGTGGGTGTCACAATTAGCGCATGTGAATGCAAAATGACAATAGTTGACAAACCCAAAACCAAAAGCAAAACCAAAACCAAAAGGTTCGGTACGGATCTCCAGGTGTCAAGCTTTAGTCATGCTCCGCTTGTATCTTTTTCGTGGTCTTCGATTTGTCGGAAGTCGTGTACTCTCTCCCCCGACACTTCTTACAATATCATAAAGATAATATTACTCGGTGCTGGCATGTTCGGCCCTAATGAGATCTAATGTTGGGGTAGTTCAGTATGTGGACTTTAGGCCTCGCATGGAATCCCCTTACCATAGGTGAAAGAATTGACTAATCTCTACTACGAGGAGCACATTCGGGTGTTCGGGGGTTGATACGCTGCATAAATGTCCCACAAGTGAACGGATACAAACGTGAACTTCTAGGGATTCTTTGAGATTTTTAGTTTCAACTCTGATGCAAATCTGATCAAATATTTGTGTGTTTTTGGTATACATTTTTAGCCGAAAATGAATGGTGGGATTCTGTTTTCTATATGGTATGGTATGGTCTGGGGTATGGTGCTCTATCGCCAACAACTTCTCATTACACGCTTGATTACATTCGCATTCGACAAATGCGAATTGTTAATGTCAAGTGGGCAGAATCAGAATTGCTGATAAACGTTGGGCTGCTTCAAGTTTGAGAATTCAATTCTGCAATAGCTTTAATTAATATTATCGTACTTAATGTATAATATTTCTATTCAATTATCTATCACTTGCGAGGGCAAGTTTCGTTTTCCTGTTGCCAAAAACAAAATTCTGAATCTTAAGACACGTGACGCCCGTTCCATGGAAGTCGCCCCCTTTTTTTCGTTTTTTTTTTTGCATTTATTGTGCGAATATTTCCTCTATTTTATGTATTTATTTATTCCGAGCAAACATTTCGATGACGATGTCTCGTTGTGGGCTTGCCCTCGTACACAAAACAATGGAATTTGGAATGGAAATTTCTGGCCAGCGATAGGGACTCTTCCCACTCATTATTTGTGGCTTTGTGCCGAAGAAGATCCCGAAGAAGAATGGTGGAATGGCCACGCCCATGTTTCCATGGCCCCTACCCCATCAATAAAATAAACCCAATAAAAATGGACCCAATCTTTATCAGAGCCGATCCCACAGCCGAGCCGAATGGGCAATAAACACTCCGATGATCATGTAAATGAATTTAATCAATACTTGACGTCAAGTGAAGACAACGGCAGACAACAGAACATTTAATATGATAATAAAATTATTTACTAATTGATAACCCCACAGAGGTTGTATGATTTATGATTGTAGTACTAAGGACAGCATCGGGCACGATCCACTGATCCACAGATCCTACCTCATCTTATGGCAGAGCCTGCCTCAGTGGCTGCTACGTGCAGAAAGCGAGTATCTAGCTCTTTTCTACGGTTTGCTTATTATGTATGTGGAGCACAAAATATTAATAAATATAAAAATATTTACATATATCTCGGACGCTAAATAGTCGTATAATCAATAGTAAATAGCAGCAACTGCAAAATGAACACGTTTAGTAAATAATCGAAACAAAAGTCGGCTGTCGTCAGGCGTCGAGCAGTTCAAGCTATCGAGCAGACACCAGTCCGCAGTCCCCACAGTGCAGCCCCCGTTGCGACTCTCCGAGACACTCCTCATCTCACGGGAAAGGAATAAGAATCGCTTCCATTGTGCCCTAAATGGAATTTCCAAGGAAACCCACACCCACCCCCTCCCCTATTAGGGCTAATGAGGATATTATTTTACAACTAGTACTATATTTATATACATAAAATGTATAGAGCAAGAGATGATTAATTGAATTTCGATCTATCAGTGTCTCGCCTGTCTCGTCAGCGCGTCTCTTCTTCCTCTGCGGCTGATAAGACTACGTCAGAGGCAAAGAACATTACATGACAATTAAAAAATGTCTGCGATACACCATACACTACATATATCCGGCTATTAATTGGGTGAAACCCCAATCGATTCAGCCATTCACATGGATCCCCAGAAATCTTCGTGTTTTTCTTCCATTGGAGTTAACTGAGTAAATATTTTCTGATAATTATGTATGCGCTTCCTCTGGATTCACTCTGGGAAAATCCACTAATAATATTCCACCCACTGACTGATTGAAACGGGGGGGATTCAGTGTCAGAGCCAGAGTCGGGCTTTTTTTTGTGTTTTTTTTTTGTTGTTTTATAAACAAATGCTTTAAGCATTTTGCTGGCCAAATGATGGATGAAGTTTTTGGGGCGCCTAAGACGCTTTGATCGCCTGCTCAATCGGTTGATCGATAGCGTTTAACCGTTACTCTAGCTAACGGTTACAGTGCCCTCCTCCTTCTCACCCTTTTCCATTCTGCTTTTCAGTTTCAGCTGTTTCAGATCGTCGGTTGAACAAACACTTTTGCGTATTAAACAATTTTCGTTAATTAAATGCATTCAGCGGGTCGTTCATTCATGGAACAGACTGAATCTTACCCAATGGAAGAGGGATCCAATCAGATCAGATTATACACATGTATAGACAGTCTGTCTGAATTAGAGCACACCTGAATCGAGAGATCGCTGAGATTGGGGCCTAAGCTTAGGTCTCTCTCTCTCTCTTTCCCTGGTGCAATCGTTTCCGCATTGTCTGGTCTGATCCCGACAATCTCAATATTTGTCTACAATTTCGATTGCTGTCCCACTGAGATAAGGTCCGGTACACCGGAGAGACGAAAACACACGAGTATTACCGGACATCAGCATTATCGATCAGCGATAATGTCTTCACTTCTCTGAACTCTCGCATTGTTGTTTACCCATTGTTCACATCAATAATTTGATAATTGTCCCCTATGCTTCTTGTTGTTCACTATGTTTACTACAACAAACACATTCGATTCCACTTCCTTAACCTTAAAGGCCCACTGTCGTGGACCAGGACACACTTACACGTGCATATACCCACCACTCAGGAATGTATGTGTTTGTGCGTTTAAGGCAGACAAAAAATAATGACAGCACTTTTTATTCTCTTTCCTCTTTCTGCTATACCGTTGACTTTGCGTTCACCGTTTCTTTTTTCCTTCGCTTTTAAATTTCTCGCGAGATCTCTGGTTCTTCGTCTCCCTGTGCCTTTCTTTCCGCTAACTCCGCGAGTGGAAATCGCGACACACACTGACAAGAGGGAACATATACACACACACACGAAGCAACGGGAGGAGCAGTACAGCAAAAAAAAAAAACAACAAAATTTCACAAAAATTGCGGGAGCGAGCGATCGCGAGCAGGACCGTTACCGTTAAGCGGCGCACGCTGAATTGAAGCGCTGCAGGCTATGGGTTGACACTTTTTGTTAACGGTGACGGTGACTGTGACTGACGGTGACGTCGATTTGATTTAAATGAAAATTCTCCCCAGCTCACGTCTGTTCCCCAGCAGTCAGTGCCACTGCCACTGTCGCTGTCGCAGCGCTGCTGCGGCGCTGTCCGGGTGCGGCAACGGCAACGCTCTGATTTCGGCACGGGCTCCGATCTTGCAAGCTCAGTTTTTTGGCTCAGATTTTCAGAGATTTTTTTTAGCTCAGCTTTCTTAGAGGAGATTTCACTCGACACTCGGGACGGATGGCCGGCTTGGCTCTTGGCTGCGCGGATGAGATCGGTACGTTGGAGGAGCAGCCCGATACAGCCCCAGAGCCGATTGTCGTTACGACACGTTACGCGTTACGTCCATCATATGACTGTCGTCGGTATTCCCAAATCAGAATCAAAATCGGAGAGAGAGACGAGCCGAGCCGCACTCGAAAATCAAAAGTAGAGCAGAAAGAATCGCACAGAGCGAACACGAAAATCGCAACGAAAACGCGACCACGATTATTTTTCCACCTCCTTTAACTGCCGAGCACGCCTGCGTGTATTTGATTGTATTTGTGTGCATGCATGTGTGTGTTTGTTTTGACTCGGTCGATCTCTAATCCAGCGCTTCACTCACTTTGCGGAAAAGACAAGACAAAAATCACTCAAGACGCCGACGCTGCCGTTGGCTTCGCGGCGGCTCTGCTTTTGGGTGTTTGTGTGAATCCGATTAGTGTATGAGGTGGTGAAGAAGGAGGGCCAGCAGCAGCAGCAGTGCTCCCTCTTTCCTTACCTTCTCCTCTCTGACGATCGCTCCCCATCCCAGCCCTTCCCTCGCCGCACCCGCCACACGGGCACCGACTAAAACTAAATCAACTTTAAATGCCGATCGACAAAAGGCAACTACGAAAATCGTTAGCACAGTTCATGCCCATTCTACACCCGCACCACACCTCACCCATATGTCAACAGGGAACACCAAATGGGGGAGGCAGCACAGTGGGACAAATGATACTTATAGTGCGCAGATTATTTCATTCAAACATATATTTGTAGCCCTAGAGGGTTAATACTAAAATACAATTTAATTAATATGTACTTAACATTTTTTAATTAATAGATACTTAGTGATTCTACGAAAATATGTTGAAACCTTTTAAAATTTTCAAATAGTTTTTCCTACTTTGTGGACAGCCCTTGAAGAGTGGTAAAATGTTTGGATCATGTAATATAACATATGTAAATTAATATGTAAATACATGCATCTGTAAATCAACTCTTGGGGAACAATGGTGTACATATGTCCCCTGTAGACATTCTACGCGTACGCACGATCATGAACATTGTTTACATTTGGATCCACAGTAGGCCATGCTTTTTTCTTCTGTTGTTTCCGTACATGTTCGTCACCGGGGGCAGAACCAGCACCCACATACATATGTATGTACATATGTAGACCCGACCCACCGAAAACCCCACCTAAAGAGCAACAACGAAAACAACACAGAAATCCCATCGTACGTAAATGTTTTTTGTCTACGGATTTTAGTGCTTTACGACGGGGCACTAGCCGGCGCAAACTTTAAACGTCAACGGCAGCCCCAGCCCCCAGAGACAACCGCCCCTTGGGATAGTACCCGCAATGTACGTATGTATGTGTATGTACATATGTATGTACATACAAGTACGAGTACCTTGATCTTAGGTGGCTTTCTTGTGCCTGATCCTGCGCATGGGTGGCGCCAATGTCAGCGTTGTCAGGTTGGGTATTCACTGTCAATGCCAATGTCAATAGAAGGGCTAATTTCGGCGACAGGCTCAAGGTCGGAGTAACTGTTTCACGGACATTGAAGGGAACAGAGAGTGTAAAAAGTAGACGGAGCCGATGATACATATGCATATACTTCACTTTGAGTTATCGCCATTTACTTTTTCGCTCTCCACTATGCCAATCATCATTCATCGTTTTACCAGATCTCCTCCACCATCTACATCTCGCCCTTTCCTCACCACCATCTATTGATTTCTTCTCTGCTGATATGACTGCGACGGCGACGCCGACTAAGCAAAGAAAGCTCGCTTAAAGAGGAGAGAGGAGAACAGCTAACTTTGAGGGCATCAATCAGTGCAAGGTGACGATACAACAAAGTGAGGAATTGCTGCTCTACTCCACGCACCTTTTTCTCTGTGAGAGACACAACCACAACATTTGAGAGCAATCTCTTCACGCCTCACCTAGTGCGGCATCAGCTACGACGACTTGATGGCAATGAAAAGTAGTGTTGATAACGGGGATCACTGGAGGGTCACGTCACTCACGAGGATATTGCAATAAAATAAGGCACATAAATATTAGAATTTATCTGATAAAAATCTCAATAGAATATCTCATAAAATATCTGTAAGTTCTTCACCATAACATTTTTACCGTTTTAAGGAAATATACATATAAATAGTCATAATTAGGTTCTGTTCCAAGCAAAGACTGGACAATTGATTTCGAAATATCTGCTGAAAATCATAATACCCTTCGGCAAAGAGTATAATTATGTGCAAAAGTATGTAAGTTTCTCTAATCTCATTGAGCATACATATGTATGTACATATTTAACCCAGTTGTGTCACCCCCTTTGACTCTTCCACAGCCCATCAAATCAGAGCGAGCAAATACCTAAACGAGGTGCTAAAAGATCCCATTTGTAGTTGGTCATCGAGGCCTTAAATTGAAAATACAAGCTACGGAAAGTGCGAAATATCAATCCAGAACCAGATCGGGCAAAGAGAGATAGCGACAGATAGATGAAATGAGAGGACTGAAACACACGCACACACACAGTACATAACCGTACTCGGTAGCAGCGTATTTAAATTGGGCAAACTGATTCATTGGGCGGCGGCGGCATTACCCAAAAATGTTGATAAATATCGCAAGTTAAATTAATTACTAGACAAGTACATATGCTCATTGGCTTTGATGTATCGACGTATCACAAGTGTCAGCCGCCAGCAAATCCAAGTGTATTTAAATAAATTCAAATGAATTGTAATTGATGGGATACCAGCAGAAGATACCAGGTAACAGGCCGGGCCTCTCCCTTTGGCATTTATTGGATGTCACCCACCGATCGGTCACATGAATCGCTGCAACTAGACCTCGGAAGTGATCGATTTTTGAGCTAATTTCTCAGCCCCTAAACTGTTGACAAAACCAACAAATCAATCAAAAGTGAAGAACATGTGGAGGCCGACGATGCCACAATTTATGCGCATTACAAATCCGAATATGCCAATAAATGTTATGCTATACTCGTATGTCAGGAAGTAAATTCCATTCCCATTCTCATTTTTGTATACAAGTTATGTGCAGTAAAAGCCATTGGATTCGGTGTTTCAATATTGCTTTTTTGTTGTTGCTTGTTTGAACACACAGATCATCAGGATCAGTATAAATATCGGTCCCGGACGCGGATGCGTACGCGGGTTAGGTATATAGCATCTATAACATACAATTTACAAACAATTTCGATAGTATTGGCATGGTGTGGATGGGACTTTAAGGCATTGGAAGACGACACAAAGTCTCAGCTATTTTTGCTTAGCAAATGAACAATATTGGCGATCATGCGGCAGCCGTTCTTGTGGTGCAGTAGATTAAGGCACGGATCCCGGATCTTCTCCTCGAGCAGCTTGATCAATTCGGAGCGCAGGCACTGCACCATTTCGGCCGTCTCGTGATCGTGCGCCTTCAGTATAATCCAGCCGGTCTCGAGCAGGAACAGAAAGTCGCCATCGTGTAGCTCCACCTTGAAGTCGCTGCCCGCGAACAGGACAAGCGCAATGAGGGGCAGCATCGAGCAGTCGCGTATGTAAATGGCGCTGGTGCGCACCTTCTCCTGGTAGACCAGGAAGGGTGACTGGAACGTGGCCACTTGCGAGTTCACCGACGATGGATGGATCTTCACATAGCCATCACCGCGCGTCTTGAAACGCAAATCATTATGCCCCTGCTCGCGAGGCACTGCCCCGCCCGCTGTCTGCACATAGACACGCTCCGGCGTCATAATCTTCACAATATTCGGATAGAGAGCGGCGCACAGGAGCGACGTGAGCAGCCGATTATTATCCCCATTGTGGTTCTGTTCCGCACCTACATAAATGATACAAATGATACAATTAGATGGCTTCAGGCAGGATGGCTTCATCCTGCTTACCTGTGAGCTGTAGAATGTTGTCGCTGGCATTTTTGCGCCTGCGCGGCACATCGATGGGCACAAAGCCAATCGAGACGAGCAGCTCCAGATACTGGTACTTCAGATCGGCTATCGTCTCCAGTGTGTTGAGTGAGAGAAAGTGCTCGCTGGCATAGTTTCTGCTGGCCGCATAGTTGCCACGCCTTGCCACATCCAGCCATTTCTGTGCGGAAAAGGGTAAACGGATGAGTAAAGGATGCCGAAGCTGAATGAAGGGGAATGTCTCACCCGATAGGCATTGAGCACAGTGAGATGATCGCTGTTGCCCAGCGCAAACATTCGCTTGCATTTGTCCGCCTCTACACGCTTGCTCATCGGACTGACAAAGGGAGATTTGTTGCTCAGGCAGGCGGCAATTGTCAGCACACTGTCCAGGCACTGGAAGATGGCGCCATACAGCATCAGCTTGCCGATGCGCACGTCCACAGGCAGGGCGGCAAGATGATGGCCCAGCGGCGTTAGCTGATCGTCAGCATCCAAAGCGCCGACATCACGGAGACGTGTCAGTGCTCCCAACACACTGTCCTCGCTGGGTGCCTCGAGCGTCTCGAGCAGAACGGAGAGCGTGTTACGCGACGCGAAAGTCTCGAGTGTCTTGATGCGCAGCACAATCTGCTCGAGCGGCACTCGCTGTATCTCCGGCACCGGCTGGCCGAGGATGTGCTCATGGAAGCGATAACTCGTGTACAGATGAATGCAGACGCCGGGCATGACGCGACCGGCGCGACCCTTGCGCTGCTTGGCATTGGCACGCGACACCCACACCAGATCGAGGGACTCCATGTTGCGGTTCGAGTCGAAGCATTTCTCCTTCATCAGGCCACAGTCCACCACAAAGACACAGTCATCGATGGTCACCGAGGTCTCGGCTATGTTCGTGCTCAGCACAATCTTTCGCTTGCCCGCCGGCGCGCGCTTAAACACCAGCGCCTGGTCCTCGCCGGACAACGCCGAGTGCAGCGGCACCAGCACGAATTTACCCGCTCGCGGCGAGAAGAGTGAGTGATCGAGCAGGGCATCGTGCACCGTCTGTATCTCGTGCATGCCGGGTAGAAAGATGAGAATGGTTCCCGTGCGCGGCCACTCATGTTCGCCCTCCACAATGTACTTTAGCACGGATTCAATTAATTCCGGATTAATGGTCATCGGCTCCATTAGGTAGATGCTTTTGCATGTCGGCTTGCTGTACTCTGGAAGGGCAGGGGGGGGGAGAGAGGTCGTAGTCAGAAGGAGCTTCATGGTGGTCATGCTTGGACTTACCCGCATAGCGACTGTAGGTCTCGGCCAGTGTTAGTTTCTCGTCTTTGATTTTCTTGCCGGGTGGCGGTCCCGCTGCCTGGACATCGGCATACTCCAGCTCTCGCTGGAGCACATCCTGCTCCGACTTTTTCAGCTTGCGACAGAACTTTGTGTCGCATTCCATCACAAAGTCGCTCACCTCGAGTATGTCCTCGAGGAAGAGCTGCTGCACGGGAAACGTGCGACCGGGTATATCCAGAACGGGCGCTCCACCAAAGTAGTTGGAGAAGAGGCTTGCATTGAGGGTGGCAGACATGAGAATGACCTTGAGATCCTTGCGCTCGCGCAGTATATTCTTGAGGATGAGCAGCAGGAAGTCGGACTCCTCGGAGCGTTCGTGCACCTCGTCGACAATTACATGCGAGACGCCGCTCAGCAGCGGATCGGAGGCGAGGCGACGCAACAGAATTCCAGTCGTGCAAAAACTGAGGCGAGTGCTCTGCGAGACTTTGTTCTCCAGCCGAATCTGATAGCCCACCAGTTGGCCTATGCGATCCAGCCGCTCGGCGGCCACACGCTCCGCCACACCGATGGCCGAGAGGCGGCGCGGCTGTGTGCAGATGATCTCGACATGGGGCAGGGTCTCCTTCGGCTGCAGCTGAAGGGCGCGAAAGAACCAATTGTCGAGTATGAATTGCGGCACCTGTGTGCTCTTGCCGCAGCCCGTCTCGCCGGATATCACCACCACGGGCGAGCTCTCGATGAGCGCCAGAATTCTCTCGATTTCGGCAAAGGCCGGCAGCTTTCGCCTGCCCTCGATCACCTTCTGGTAGCGCTCATCCTTCCGCCGCTCCACAAACTGCTGCAGCAGTCGGCGATTCTCCCGCGCCTGTGCCTCTGTGTTACGCTGGTAGCCACCCTCACCGCGGGACGTCTGCCCGCGGGCATAGTGCGACGGCTTCATTGTCTGCTCGCCCACACCATTGTCGATGGAGTCGCCCGTCTCCGGTTCGTTGTAGAAGAGCGAACGCTTGGGCGAGGGAAACCGGGCGGTGTCCAGCCTGCCGGCCAGATCCTCGCTGGACTGCAGCAGATCACAGATGCTGTACACACAGGGTATGCCGTCGCGGCAAATCTCCCTCGCCTCGCGGTACAAATGGCGCGCATAGCGCAGCCTCAGCTCGTGCGGTATGTCGTGGCAGGTGGTCTTCAAATAAATAAACGGCGCCTCATACGGATACTGGCTGCCGGGTGGAAAGCGCACCTCCACATGGAACCACAGCTCATTGTCATTCTCATCCAGATTTTCTGCAAATTAAAGCGAAAATTCAAATAAAAAACATTTGGAGGGAGGAGAGACATCGGACTCACCTTTTTTTGGTGTTGAAGGAAGAACGGGCTGGGCTGGCACATGGGCAAAGCGACATTTGGGACCGTATTTACAGGTGCCATCGCGTTCGAAGTTGCGACATCGCTGCGGCGCCTTCTTTTTCTTGTCGAGTGCTGCCTGGGCAGTGGCTGCTGCTGCCGCGGCGGCTGCCTCGCGTGCCTTTCGCACCTCCGAGGGGCTGTGGGCGAGTAGGTGGTCAATCCTAAACTTGAGATTCCACACGCGATTAGCCTCACGCTCTTCGTAGGCGCGATCGTAGATGGACTCGAGGGCTTCCTTCTCATCGGAGCGCATGTCCAGCAGCTCCGGCTCGCTGGGTGGCTCCAGGTTCAGCTTTTCCTTTTCGGGTACGCGCATATAGCGCTTGTAGAGCAGCAGCAGGGCCGCCTCCGTGTCGCTGCTGCAGTGCTCGTAGGCCTCGAGGCAGTGGGCGGCATGGAAGCCGTAGCATTCCAGCTTGAGCAGGGCATAGCGGCGAATGCGATCGTCGTCGTTGCCATCGCCGCTTCTGGTGGAGCTGACGCCCTGGACACTCTGCACCATCAGTGTGCCACGGTCCTGCCAGTAGGCATGCTTGACACCGTGTCCGCCTCTACCGCGGTCCTTGTACTTGCTGATGTCCTCCAGCTTAAAGTCCGGGCCGTGTATCGTCCGCAATGTGTCCATGGTCATCTGCTTGGACTCATCGTTCAGCCGCACGACATGCAGCTCTGTTTTGCGCGATTTGTTGTCTGCCACAGACCGGGGAGTAGCTACGGGCACGTTGCTTTACACAAATTAAGAGAATGATTTTATCAACGTAAATGGTCGGTCGTTAGGTACTTACGTGGTGCGGACATCGCTGGGGGGCCGCATGAAGCAAAAGTCTTCCATGTGCTGCCTTGAGGATTCGTCCATGGTCGCTCAACAATCACAAATAAAATAATATTAAAAATTTCACAACTAAATCTAAAATCCAGCTGGCCGCTACAGGCAATTTCACAAAAACGGAAAACTGTCTGGCAGCCCCATCAGCTGTTTTCTTCAGCATGTTGCCGCGCTGCCACTCATTTTGGGCAGCAGGTGCATATGTTTGTTGTTGTGCTAAATTTCGCATACAATCGAAATTACGCGCCCTCGCAATCTGTATATTTGTTGCTGGCTTGGAAATTTAATGGAAATATGTTTTATTAGCTTAAGAAAATGGTTAGTTGTATGAAAGTTTTAAAACAGATGATGGCATGTATATATGCTTATGTTATTTAAAAGTATTAATCCAATAGGTGGCCATCATTGTGATAGTTTAAGTCGAGTTTAATTTCGTTGACAAGTTCGCTGCATGGAAGAAAATGTGTAACGTAATGGACATAAGATATTAGCACATATACATGTAAGTATGCTTACAATGCTTCCAGCGCTACCAGTTCGAGTACACTGATTTGCTCCAGCACGGCCTTGTGATTCGCATCCTGCTCCTTGCGCTTGGAGCGCAGTACTTCGGTCAGTTCCTCCGACTTTATTTTCATTTCATTCAGCTTAATGGAATCTGCATTAATGAGCTCCTTTAGATCTTCATAGCTCTGAAAGCATACATATTAACATACATCTATGCATGGGCGGAGAATGATCTCGGGACATACCATCGATGTGAACTCATCATAGGCAACATTGCCGTCCTGCTGCTCGGCGACCTGTATGACCTCTTGGCAATGATCAGCATAGGCCACGCCCAACTGTTGCTTTACTTGCACCAGATCGCTCAGTTTACTGCTCAGCAGATTCTCCTTCGAAGTCAGTTCATCCAAGTTGGGCAGCAGCTGAATCGAACTCCCACCAACGATCGGGAGACTCATCCTGCAGATAGTTTCAGCCTTCTCATCTCTTAGCCGCTTCTCGTTTTCTTCCAGCTCTTTAAGTTCGTTCTCCAAAGAAGTATTCTCAGCACGCTGAAAGTCATACAACCTCCCAGCACACGTTCATGCACTTGTAAAAATGATTCTGCCGCTTACCGTTTCACGCAACAACTCTTCTAAATACACCTGGATCATTGTAACGGGATCGCAAACGTTCTCTTCTTGCTGATTGCCATTAGAAACGCAAGCATTATCACTATTATTCTGCATATTATTTGTGTGTTCTCAATGCGGCAAACTAGTGAACATTTACAAAAAGAAACGAGTCGCCTAAAGTTTGGTTGCAACTACTTATCCAAAATGGCCGCGAATGTAGAGCTGGCACAGCGACGATATTTCCCACCATCCGATGATATGGCGTTTTATCCGATGTTTTTTATGTTTAGCAAATCACAGAAATCAAAGACATAAGGAAAGATTATAAAGTCAAACCAATGATCTTATGTTGGTATTTCAATAGAACTCACTTGAGGCAAAGGCGGGAAGACAGCGATAGCCTGTGACACAAGCATATGCACATTTCTATTAGATCTACATATGTATTCTCTCATCTCTTTTAGAGTTTGAGCAAAGAAAGAAAGAAAGAAAATGGCTTCAATCTCTGCTGATGCCAACCAACCTCTATACACAAACAAACACAAAGAAAAAGATGTGTACGTGTATACAAATGTACATACATAACAGAAAGCGAATGAGTGAGGCAAAGATTGATATACAATGAGTCAAATGAGAGTAAATGCCGAGAGTACGTACATATGTACATTTACTCTACAGTTACTTCATGTACAGGCATACGGCTACAGCCATGCATACACGTTTACACACCAAGCACAAACACATACATACGATTAGCGAATGGCGCAGTAGAACAGATCATCAAATAAACAGCAGCGTGCATTTGTATTCTCTGTGGAGAGGATGCCATTTCGCTCACACTCCCGTTTAAAGGCCAGATAGGCTGAGATCCTCTTCGCAGCAATACCAGTATTGCCTCCCTCTTCATCATGTCATTACCGCATGGCGCCAAAAGCCGAGGGGTAACCACGCTATCGGCTGGATGGATGGTTATTTTTTCTTGTGTGGCATTTGATAAAAAACGTACGCAATGGATTTGTTTAAACGTAAAAACTTCGAGAAGGTAGTAAGTTAAATATTGTTATTAAATCTACATAATCATTTAATTTATGCGTCGCAGCCGATTTCTGAGGAAACTGATTCGGATAAAAAGCGCTTGCACGTGCAGAAGCGTAAAATCCAAGGGCTTGGACCCGTCAGTCGCCAGTCAAATGAAAATAATGCGCGTCAGGCTATCGCTTACGTTAAACCCTGTGCAACTTCTCAGGTGAATCAGATACCGTGGCAACAGCAGGGGAGGAAGGACTTTGATATTAAAAGCTGGATGAAGATGCAGAATAATCTGCCAGAACTGCAAAAGAAGAAATATAAGGACGAGGTCATCAAACGCTGGGTGTTTTCACAGGAAAAATACTTACAGCCGAGGTCCAATGAGATGCCCATCGATGAGTTAATTACCAATGAAGATAGGACAATTGAGAAGCGCGCTGACACCAGTTGCTGCATGTTTTCGCAGGGTAATCAGCTGAACGGACGTTTGCCTCTCCGGCAGGTTCATTCGTCCATTGATGCCCGCAAGCTGGGCGGCAATCCGCCCAAGAGAATGTATAGAAATTAGCCCAAAAGTAAGTATACAAATTTGACAATTTTTTGTTTGTAAATCCTAACCCACCGTTCCCTTGCTTTTCGACAGATTGATGGGAAATTTACCGTACAGTCTGTACAGTCTGTGTCCCCACGTACGCCCCCATCACAATCCGTCCATCCCAAGGAGTCCCCGTTGTTGGTTTGAAGCAAGAAATCGATTTTACTTCCTGCTGGATATGGCCTGAGCATCTTGCATGAAATGAAGGATCCCAAGTCGCTCCGCCAAAACTAAAATTTTCTGAAAAATACCCCTGAAGCTACATGTAATCATAATATACAATAAAGTCAAACCTTGTTGGCAATAATTCCTTTGCTGTTTATAATTACAGTACGGTAATTTGTTTCAAAGTTTTGTTACATATATGTACGTTTTCCGTCGTAATTTTACGCGCCACAATTTGAATTTTGATCTGAAATTTTTGGTTTGTGTCACTACTAATAGGTAGTGTTGCGTTGATAGGCAGAAAAATGCAACGGTGTGCTCGTGTAGTGTGAGCCAGCAGCCATAGCCGCCCTGTGGGAAAATCGCTCAGTGAGAGTGAGACATATATATTCTCTATTTGTGGATGGCAATTTGTGATGATATACTCTGCGGTACCAACAACTACCTATAAATAATAAATAAGAAACATATCGCAAGTGCTGATTATCGCCCACAAATATCGATGGATATCGATGCAAGTAGAATCAAAAGTCGCTGGCACAATCAGAATAAACACCAGCGACTATGAACAACAGAAACATTAAAACGATTTGCCTTGCAATTAAAAGTTGTTCTGTAGTAGATACATCCCACAAATGATACATGCTATTATATTGCGAACCAAAACATATGTGTATCGATATTTATGAATATATGTTTCCCATCCCTACATCACTTCCCGCCAAAAAGTGTGCATACGGCGCATTTGGTACCAAAAATTCTTGTGTTTGGGCATTCAATTTACAATTGAAGCGTCTCGCCGAGAGTAGCAGCAAGAATCAGTTTGTGTGTTTGATCGAGAGTTGCAGTTGAAGCGAAGCAGAAAAATGGCCCACGATGGCGAGCAGTTTATCAGGGACATACAGCGGGAGTATGTGGACTTTCTGGACGATGAAGAGGACCAGGGCATATATTCGGGCCATGTGAAGGACATGATTGCCGAAAAGAGCAAGCGCCTAGTGGTGAACATCAACGATCTGAAGCGCAAGAATCCGCAGCGTGCGATGGGGCTGCTGAGCAACGCGTCCGACGAGCAGCTGGCCTTCGGTCGCGCCCTCAAGGAGTACGCGTCGACGGTGGATCCCAGCTATGCCAAGCTGCACGAAGACTTCTTTGTGGGCTTCGAGGGTTGCTTTGGCAATCGGCATGTGACGCCACGCTCCCTCACCTCCATTTACCTCAGCAACATGGTCTGCGTGGAGGGCATCGTCACAAAGGTCTCCCTCATCCGACCCAAGGTGGTGCGCAGCGTCCACTACTGTCCGAACACACGCAAAGTGCTGGAGCGCAAGTACACAGACCTCACATCGTTCGAGGCCGTGCCCTCGGGCGCTGCATATCCCACCAAGGACGACGATGGCAATCTCCTGGAGACAGAGTTCGGGCTGTCCGTGTACAAGGATCACCAGACGCTCACCATACAGGAGATGCCAGAGAAGGCGCCGGCCGGCCAGCTGCCACGCTCCGTTGACATTATCTGCGACGATGATCTCGTCGATCGCTGCAAGCCCGGCGATCGTGTCCAAATCGTTGGCAGCTACCGCTGTCTGCCCAGCAAGCGGGGCGGCTACACCTCGGGCACGTTCCGCACGGTGCTGCTGGCCAATAACATTTCGCTGCTGAGCAAGGAGAACAATCTGGACATCTCGCGCGAGGACATTATGGTCTGCAAGAAGCTGGCCAAGAACAACGACATCTTCGAGCTGCTCAGCAAGAGTCTGGCCCCCTCCATACACGGCCACGTCTACGTGAAGAAGGCAATTCTCTGCCTGCTGCTCGGCGGCGTGGAGAAGCTGCTGCCCAATGGCACACGTCTGCGCGGAGACATCAATTTGCTGCTGATCGGTGATCCGTCGGTGGCCAAGTCCCAGCTGCTGCGCTACGTGCTGAACACGGCACCGCGCGCCATACCCACCACGGGACGTGGCTCCAGTGGCGTGGGTCTGACGGCGGCTGTGACCACCGATCAGGAGACGGGCGAGCGTCGTCTGGAGGCTGGCGCCATGGTGCTCGCCGATCGCGGTGTCGTCTGCATCGATGAGTTCGACAAGATGAGCGACATCGATCGCACGGCCATACACGAGGTGATGGAGCAGGGGCGCGTCACCATCTCCAAGGCGGGCATTCATGCGTCCCTCAATGCCCGCTGCTCAGTGCTGGCAGCTGCCAATCCAGTCTACGGCAGGGTGAGCTTATCACAGTCATTCCAGTTGAGTTCTGTTGGTACTTATCTTCTCTCTGCTTGCAGTACGATCAGTATAAGACGCCCATGGAGAATATTGGGCTGCAGGATTCGCTGCTCTCGCGTTTCGATTTGCTTTTCGTGATGCTGGACGTGATCGACAGCGACGTGGATCAAATGATATCCGATCATGTGGTGCGCATGCATCGCTATCGCAACCCAAAGGAGGCCGACGGTGAGCCTCTGTCAATGGGCAGCTCCTACGCCGATTCGCTCTCCTTTGTCTCCAGCAGCGAGGAGAAAAAGGACACGGATGTCTATGAGAAGTACGATGCCCTGCTGCATGGCAAGTCGCGCCAGCGCCAGGAGAAGATACTCTCGGTGGAGTTTATGCGCAAATACATCCATGTGGCCAAGTGCATGAAGCCGAAGCTCAGCGAGCAGGCGTGCGAGGCCATTGCCAATGAGTACTCGCGCCTGCGCTCCCAGGAGGCCATGGACAGCGATGTGGCACGCACTCAGCCCATCACGGCGCGTACCCTGGAGACGCTGATTCGTTTGTCCACGGCCCATGCACGCGCCCGCATGTCCAAAACGGTCACCATAGACGATGCCCTCTCGGCCATTGAGCTGGTTCAGTTTGCCTACTTCAAGCGGGTCCTCGAGAAGGAGCGCGGCCACAAGCGTCGCCGTCACAGCGGTGGCTCTGATGATGGGGACGATGCCGGTGCCACTGATGCCGCCCAGGAACGTTCGCCCACGCGACGCAGCAAGCGCACACGCACCGAGGCCGATCCACATGAGTTTGTTGACAGCGATGAGGAGGATATCGAGACTCCACAGCCGGATGCCGGTGATCTGACCCTTCGCGAGACTCGTCGCTCGTTGCCAGCCGTCGGCAAGAATGCGGCCAGCAGCAGCAGGAGCACAAGCGCCATGGCCAGCAGTGAGGAGCAGTCGATCGGCGTGACGCCCACACCGGCCACCATTGCCGACGACCGTCTGGGCGCATTCAAGAACGGCCTGCAGCGTCTGTTCCGTGACGCACGCGAGCAGAGCTTGGCCCTCGGCCGCATTACAACGGCCATCAATGAGAACAACGCGGAGCCATTTACCAGCAGCGAGATCGAGGCAGCCGTCCATCGTATGACCGAGGATAACCAGATCATGGTGGCCGACGACATTGTCTTTCTTATTTAAACAAACTAAAAAATTCCATCGTCCCGCCGCATCCCTTGTTGTTTCCACATTTATATTTCCTTCACACATACATAATCCTCATGCATTGGTTAAGTTGTATTTTTTTGTTTTCTGTGTACTTTATATGATAATAAAATCTTTGGAACCACTAATTGCAGCATCAATCTTAACAAATACAAAAGAAAAGCAAAAAAAAGCAAAAGAAAAGAAAAAAGCAAACAACAAAAAATGCACTTTTACCGCTAATCACAGTGATCAGAGAGCGAGAGCACAGTGTTGGCAGAGCATGCAAGAGAGCGCGGCCAATTTACACAGATATTTGGAGCTTTTGTTGTGGTATATAATATAGTTAATATTGATAAAAATTCCTTGTGTTTATAATCGAAATTTTATAGGTTGGCAATATACAGTTCGAATCGAACTGCTTGCTTATCCCAAACTGCATAACTGTTGTTGCTTTCTCCTACTGGCAACCTTGTTTTGCTACTGTTGTTGTTGGGTTTGTAAGAAAAGACTCCGTCATTTAACCGTAAAATTAACAGAGAAGTATTCAAAGTTTACATTTATTTTCGGACTGAATATCGTTTATAAGCAATTCCGATATGCAATAATTGTTTGTGAATTCAGTTTGAGGTTTATGTTACACTTAATATAGACACGGATATAGCAATAAATCAAATCCGATTAGACAGTTAAAACGTATATACAATTATGAAGAGGCGTCCTGCAGTACCGTAACAGCCCCCAGCAAGCACCAGACACATTCGCATAGAAGGGTAGTTAGGGGGGGGGGGGGGGGGGGGGGGGGGGGGGGTTAGTGTGTGGGAAGCGCCATTGATTTAGCTAAGGATCTGCACAAACGATCAAAGATTCACCACATTCTTGAGATCGGGCGGCAGCAGACCCTTCATGCATTCAATCTGCGCCTGGATCTGCTGCTGTGTGCTCATCCGATGGCTGCCACTGCTGCTGCTGCCGCTGCTGCTGCTGTTGTTGTGGGCGCCTAGCCAGGCGATGCCCTCCAGGCCCTGCGACTTGTCGCTGTAGAGATTCAGTTTCTGCTTGAGCTTGAGTATCATATCGATAATCTCCACCTCCTGCTTGTCGTGGGCCCAGTGCTCCAGATTCGCCTCGGACAGTGCCTGCAGCTGTAGATCCTGGAGTGTGAGCTGAAGATCACGATGCCGCGACTCGTACCATCCCCGAAAGTTTGGCGAGCGAAAGAAGCGCCTGTACAGGCCCTTCCAGTCCCCCTTGAGCGGTGACGTCAGCTGTGGCCCGGCCGTCTCCAGGGTTGCCAGAAAGTCGTCCAGCTTGAAGCTGCTCGCATTGGGTGCCGACTTAAACGGACTGATGTCCTTCTGCAGCGGCATCAGCGATGCCATATACCGCTCCAGTGGTATCATAAAGCTCTGCGTCAGCTCCAGCAAGTGTCGCCGTATCAGCGCCGTTTGCACATGCTCCGGCCGCTTGGTCTTCAGCCCCAGCAGCACCTTCTTGATCAGGGCCTTGTCCTTTTTCAGATACGGCTTGTACTTGGTGTGCAGCCCCGACGATGAGCTGCCATCCGCACCATTTGAGCTGCCACCGCCATTCAGTGCCGGTGTGATCTTCATTGCTGATCTGTTGGCCAACTGCTCACCCGAGGAGCCACTGGCAAAGGACGTGGCATTGCGATGCGAACTCTTCTGACCCATTAGCAGCTGCTGCTGCTGTTGCATGTTCTTCTATGCCACACGAAAGCGAGAGAGAGAGAGAGGAAAATATATGTAGAGGGATAGCTTTTTGGTAGAGACTTGAAGGCTTACCTGATTGTCTACCAGTCGCAGCATGTGCGGCCAATCCTTGAGCAGCTTGACAAAGAACGGATTTGTGACGCCCAAAATGCAGGCGGGCAGGCCCGTCTTGCTGGAGCATTCCTGCGTGAACTCCCGAAATTCGCTGTCGTGAATGGTGAAGTAGGGCCGAGCTTCGGCGCAATATTCGAGCGGTGCGATGAGCGCCACCAGCGCTTGGACCATGTGGGAACAGTCGGCTGGGGAGGTGGCCACCACCACAATGGGCTCGGCGGTTATGACCAACTCCCAGAGCGTGTACAGCTGCTCCATGACAAAGCTGAGGGAGCGGAAGAGTTCGATTTCGTTGACCGATGACAGCACCTTGCTGCTGGCCAGCGTCTGCGGTGCAGTAAATTCGTTGGACTCGGTGGGTGACTTGCGGCTGCTGGTCGCACGCGGAATGCAGATCTGATAGTTGCACTCGAGCAGCGGCAGATGGAGGGTCTGGCCCACGCGCAGGCCGGGCCATTGGCTGTTGATCTGCTCGCAGGCCTGCCGCAGGATGTCGGTGCCCTCGTCAAAGTACTTGGGCGCCAGTTGGGCCAGTATGTCGTAGTAGAGATTGAAGAAGGGCAGGCGTGTGATGATGATGAAGCTCTTCTGGAAATAGCCGCGCGGCAGATTCGCATCCCGCTTCTGTCTGAAGTAAACGAAGCCCCAATAGTGGGAGCTATCCTGTCGCAAGGCCGGCGCACAGTCCCCATTGTAGATGGGCAGTGACTGTGGCTGCTGCTGTTGCTTTTGCTGGGGCGGCTGCTTTGCGATGGCACGCAGACGCATGTGAAACTTGGTGTCGCCCATGCAGCCCGAATTGGAGTCGGGGAAGGCCATGTAGCAAATGTTGCTCACCTCCTGGTCGCTGGGCATAAACTCTGGCGGATAAACATACTCCAGGGCCTGGCCCAGGTTCAGATCGAAGGTGACGACGCAAAAGCAGTGCATCCACTGCGAGAAGTGTATCCAGTCGCTGGCATTCGCATTCGAGCTGTTCGAGGCCTCTGTCTCTGCCTCCGCCTCCGCCTGCGTCTCGTTTAGTTTTCTTGGTGCTGCTGGCAGCGCAGCTTGAGGAGCAGCTGCACCAGTATTCTCCTGTGGCTTCTCCTTCGCTCTGGCATCAACGTCCATTTTTTATGTTGTTTACAATTATTTGTTGACTCGTTCATGAACGAAGGAACGACCACAAAAAAAAATAACTTCGAATAAGTTCACCTTAATCCGCAGGGTGGCAGAAACCACCACGATGAGACTACTTTAATAGATTAATTCTAGCTGGGTTTAATAATTTGTTGGCCATTTAGTTTTGCACTTTCACTTGTTATTTATTTGTTATTAATTGCCACTTTCTCCTGGCGTTGCCACTGCGGTGTTTATCGAAAAACATATGATTGCTGCTTATCGATAGGCGTATGTTGAGAGATGTTTACTTTTGCACACACATCAAAATGTGTATTTATTAGTTTACTCGAGTGAGAAAAGTATAAATATTACATGTCATATTATCATTAATGACTTTTGCACTACCTGGTGGTGTTAAAACCATCCACCCGGTTCTTCCGGCTAATTAAACCGTCAATTGAATTAGTACTATCGAAAATCGATCGATTGGCGCTAAGAAGCGGCGTCCCGTTTTTCCTGCGAATTGTTTGCCAAAGCATTTCGAGATGCCGATCGCGATTTTTAAATCCGTGCGAGAAGTCAGCAGCGAGGATCCGGTAAGATGCCATGACCAAATCGCTTCTCCGCCAGGCTAATAATAATGCACCCACAGGTCCATGTGGCCGAGAATCTGTTAAAGGAGAACGCCGGCAAGAAATGGAAGACGCAATTGGTCGGCGAAAAGTCTGCCTACGTGATACTGGAGTTTGCGGAGCCGCAGCAAGTCACAGGCATCGATCTGGGCAATGAGCATTCCGCCTTTATTGAGGTGCTCGTCAGCAGGACAGGCTGCCAGGTGGACGACTTCAAGGAGCTGCTTCTCTCCAGCTCCTTTATGACGCCCATCGAGAGCAAGAACTCCAGCAATCAGAATCGGGTGCGCTGCTTCAACAGCGCAGTCCTGAACGCCACAGTATTGCCCGGCAAATGGAAGCTACTCAAAATCGTCTGCAGCCAGCCATTCAACAGGCACGTCCAGTACGGTCTGTCTTTTGTGAAGGTGCACGTGACGGCCACAGCGGCGGCCACAGCCAAGCCCAAATCGCTGTTACCCGAGCATATAATGCAATTTGGAGCATTCAAGCTGCGCGAGGAGTCCCCAGACTCGGACACGGACACACCCTCAATGCGCTTCAAGCGCTGGAAGGAGTCGCAGCAGCTAGCAGCAGCAGCAGCAGCACCATCACCAGCCAGCACAGCGGCTGCCATTCGCGACGCCTCTGCAGTGATGCGACGGCTGAGCAGTACGAAATCATCGAGTCCAGCACCTGCAACTGCACCTGCTGCCGCTTCACGTTCTGAATCTCCTGCAGGCGAGGGTAAGACAGCTGCCAAGCCCCTGGATCGTAATCGAACGTCACTTTTATTCGGGGACGATGACGATGATGTCGACGATGATAAGAATGCGAGGAAGCAGCGCTTGAGCAAGCACCTGGAGGCCGACAAGGACAGGCGACGCAAGGAGCAGGAGAAGCAGGAGCAGGAGCGAAAGAAAGAAAAGTCGAAGCGTCTTTCCATTGACAAGGCACCAGCAAAAGTGGACAGCCCCAAGCCCAAGGAGAGTTCCAGGAAGAGCCCTCCAGCGGCCGTCCATAAGCGTCACTCATCGCCGACACGAAGCGCTGTCACGCCAGCCAAAAAGCTAAAGATAAAAGAAGCCACCATTAAGTATCGACCCTTTAATCAGCTGCTGCGAGGCGTGGTGCTGGTCATCAGCGGCATACAGGCAAGCAAACAGTCGCACATGGAAGGAGGTGTAGAAACAATTTTCTAATTATTTTCCCTCACAGAATCCCGATCGCGCGGACCTGCGCTCAAAGGCAACGGCCATGGGAGCCAGATACAAGGCTGACTGGGAGTCCGGCTGCACGCATCTGATGTAAGCCTCAGCTTCTGCATGCTCATTGCTCGCCTTTCCAATGTTGCTTTCTGTACTTGCAGCTGCGCCTTCAAGAACACACCCAAGTATAGGGAGGTTAGAGGCAAGGGCAAGATTGTGACCCGCAGCTGGATCGAGAAGTGTCACGCGCACAAGAAGTACTTGCCTTGGCGTCGATATGCCCTGGATACGGACGAGGTGGGCCGGCCGGAGAGCGATGAGGAGCTGCACGATGAATCACTGAAGCCAAAAGCCCGGCCAGAGCCGCAGCTGTCGAACGATATTGAAATGAAAACCAATGTGGAACAAATAGATGAGGCAGATCATGGCCAAAAGAAGGATACCAATGTCAGCCACGATATCTCCTCCGGTATCGACACTGAAGATGAACTGGAGCGCGTTGCACATGGTGAGTTGAGTGTGTGTCTCTGTCGATGGATGGATCTTGATCAGCGATTTTAAATTCCTTTGCAGAAAATATTCTTAGGAAAGCCAAGGACAAGCAGCAGCAGCAGCAGATAAAGCCCAAGTCACAGGATGTGTACGATATTAGCACGGATGAGGAGGATTATCTGGAAGAGAAAAAGAAGCAGGTCAATGCGCTGTAATTACCTTTACTTTATTTTTTGTTTAACTTAAAGCTTCTGTGTAAGTTTGCTTAGAGATTAGCTCATAGTTGTTTGCCCATGGTATTTCCCACTCTATGTTTATGTTGTACTTCGATATTGTATGCAGTAAAGCCATGCAAAGATAATACTCTTATCAATGCCCACGCAAAGTTGTGGTTAGCGTATTTTCTTTTTGAATATATAAGAAAGCGCGCTTTGGTTTCGATAACATATTTATCGGTTAAAATTACCTATCGCGAATACAAAATACCTGAACGTGTCGCGTTTTTTTCTTATGCTTCCCAAAAGTATGTGAAATTTGTATTACGATGCGCAAATTGATCTGTACTCTGAAAAGTGTGCCACAAAATAAATGCATTCCAGTTGGGTGAAGCAACAGTCTGCTGCCGAATATTCGCGTGCTCGTTAGGCACCACATGACATGCTCATGCCCCCCCCCCGCCGTCTCCCTCTGGCACACTGCAGTTGCATTGCGAGCAAAAAGAGTTCTTGCGCCTGTCTCATTACCAGTGTACATTCGCGTTAAGGTATGGCAACGCCACCCAGTACTCTCTCTCTCCGAACAGTTACAGTTTCATTCGATGTTCTCGCATGACTGAAAAAATGTGAGATTTTTAGAAAAAAACAACAAAAAACAGAAAATAAATGTAGCTGCAGAAGACAGAAGACGCATTTAAGGTAAACATCTTATAAATGTCCGTTCCCTGAGTGGTCGTGCCACACCTAATACTTTTATGCTATGGCCACACGACGAACGGAGGAAAAACCCTCCCGGATTCAGTCGTGTTTTTGCTGTAGAGAGATTTAGAGTTAACAAATCGCTGGACTGTTGGTTTATGGTAATTTTCCAAATGCTAAATGACACAAATATTCCAACTTCGAACACAAACAACACCTTGGGTGAATGCTTAAGCGCTGCGTTGCCATCAATTAATAAGAGAACAAAGGCAGAAAGAAAAGAATGTAGAAAAAGTGGAGGCGTCAGGATGATATTTTCCCATTGGAAAATCGATATGATTGTGGCCCCAAAATAAAAAGTGTTGCTATACATTCTCATCTCTTTTCATTTCATGCAGAGAGCAGCAGGACCTCCACCTGAGGAATACAACCGACTGACAGAGTGACCGAAACAGACAGCGTGAGTGAGAGCGAGAGAGGAAGGACTCACAAAACACACAAGACCCCACAGGTAAGTGATCCACCACTCCCCCTCCCAAACAAAATAAAATTAGGTACAGTGTTTTCAGTTTGTTTTTAGGATCAGAACCGAGGCCAAATATGGGTAACGAGACGTCCCTACCGATGGACATGTGCTCCAACTTCGATGCGGATGAGATCCGGCGATTGGGCAAGCGTTTCCGGAAGCTAGATCTGGACAATTCGGGAGCCCTGAGCATCGACGAGTTCATGTCGCTGCCGGAGCTGCAGCAGAATCCGCTGGTGCAGCGCGTCATAGACATTTTCGATGCGGATGGCAACGGCGAGGTGGACTTCAAGGAGTTCATCCAGGGCGTCTCACAGTTTAGTGTGCGCGGCGATAAGCTGTCCAAGCTGCGCTTTGCCTTTCGCATCTATGACATGGACAACGACGGCTACATCTCCAATGGGGAGCTGTTCCAGGTGCTCAAGATGATGGTCGGCAACAATCTGAAGGACACACAGCTGCAGCAGATTGTCGACAAGACCATTTGCTTTGCCGACAAGGACGAGGACGGCAAGATATCCTTCGATGAGTTCTGCTCGGTGGTGGGCAACACCGATATTCATAAGAAAATGGTTGTCGATGTCTAAAGCAACACACACACAAAATGCCAGGGGACCGCAACCGTGGGGGTTCCATTCCACTTATACATATATAGAGATAATACGACTATCGTTTTAGCCAATACAGTTCCATGTGCGATGTGTGTGTGTACATGTGTGCATGTGTGCATGTGTGTGTGTGTACCTTTCGTTCCACCTGTTGTTCAGCTTTAAATTAAATGGATCTTTCCTTCTGTCTGTCTGTATGTCTGTCGGTCTGCAGTTGTACGAGATCCTAAACGAGGGCCTTGAGGCGTGCCAAAAACAACAAAAAAACAAAACAAAACAAAAACAAACAAAAGAAAACAATCAGATAATGGAATTTTGAACTCGTATTGTTATCTAACCATGTCCTATACCTTATCTCTGAACGATCTCTCATCCTCAGAATGCAATGAATTGTGTCTTATACTCATACGAAAACCACCGGCAACGGACCACTATGAAACTTCATCTTTATAAACGTACTCCTACACGTTCTACTATTATGAAACCAAAATGATGTACCCAATGCCACTTGTTTCAATTCACTCGAATTGAACATTCTGCACATACAATTATTTCTTTCGCATTACGCATCAAAACATGGGTACATTCTGTGGAGTTCTGTCTTTAGAAACTATGTTTAAATATGTTCCAGAAACATATTCTTTCAACTTTTAACTGTTCAACCTTTCATTCCTAATATTCTTTCAAAAGTAAACACCTTCAACTGTTGCAATTATCAACTCCTTCAATTCCTCTTGTAAGGAAATGTTTCAATTCTTTTGCTCCTAAACTTTCATTTAATTTCCATGCAACAAATATTTTTTTGCATAATATACCGAAGTGTGTAATTTGCTCATGATAAATAACCGAAATTCGTACTTCAATTACAATCATTTTCATTGCATTTTTCATATGTTTCTTTTTCGAATCTTCTGCTCTTGAGCTGCTGCTCAAGACACAATTTATTTTTTTTTTTTACTATTAATACTAAGTATGTATAAGTTTATGCACTACCCGGGACTTACCTCATTGCAGCTGAAGCCTTGGATGGGATCTCGCTTGGATCGCATTGCTCTGGAAAGTATGCTATGGCGCAGGGCCTTGGGGTGGTTTGGGTAGATTGAACTTAAGATCGATAAAGTCTCAAAACTAGATTGTACTGTAACCTAAATCTATGTTCAAGATTAAAGCCTAATAATTAAGTTCACCCTTCGACTACTGCTACTACATGTTGTGTATAAGAAACTTGCAACTAAAATTAAACAATGTTTATTGAAAAAGCAAAGAAAAAAACAGAGCACAGAAGAGGCATTCATTCAATCCCCATTCGCCCAAACCAGTCGTAGTCGTAGTCCTTGGCTGCGTATCTCCATAACACGTGCGTGTCACACAGCCCTCTCGGGGTCGCTCATTCCCAAATCCCGAGCCAACCAAAAAGTAACAGGAACAACTTTTTTGACGTTGCCAACGATTAGCTGTTTTGTAGGTCAACGATTTTCCAACTGTGTGGCGTGCGTGTGTGTGTGTGTGTGCTCCAGAGGGTCTCTGCTCGTGTGTAGGTCGGAACAGGAAAAAAAGGAAGCCCGCCAAATAGTTGTCAAGTCCATGGGTAGCAAAGTTGTAAGGTGAAACCTAGAGACGAGCGAGGGCCTTGACCAGGAGAATGAACCAGCGAATGTCCAAGGTGCAGCTGAGGATATGACACGCGTATCCTTATATCGTATATGAGTGTGTATGTGTGTGTGTGCTTGATATCAATAAATTATTATATCCTGTCTGTCGCAAGCTTCGTTCGTTAATCATTTTCGCCTAGGTTTCCGCCTACTCCGCAGCTCGCAACTCGTAAGCATTTCCATTTTGAAAATTAGTAGGGTTAAGGCCAGTCCTGGGGCGGGAGGGAGGTTTTACCTATCTGTCGTATACCCATTCCAATACTCCTCCTCTGCTGCTGCTGCTATTTGCTGCTACCTCACGAGTCTTCGGGGGACCTTTTTTTTTGAGGTTTTTGTTTCGAGTTTTCCAGGCATTAATTGGCTTGATTAATGTGCTCCAATTTTCGGATTTTACGTAACCGCGCCTGGCCCCAATAATCGAGCTCCTCTCTGGCCTGCTCACGCGTCGCGTTTTTTTTCTTTTTGTTTTTAGTGGGGAAATATATGTAGTTTTATACCTGGCTAGCTGATTTGATATTCGTTTGAAAGAATGCATAAGGAATTCAGCAAACTGCCACATGATCGATTTATATGCGATATAAATGCAGAAATGCTAAACCAACCGAGGGGCGGCAAAACGGCACAAGATTAGATCTGTATCTGTTTGAAGTATTACTCTGAGGTTAAAGGTAAAAGATGTTTCCCGTTTTCATTTAAAACTGATTAAAAGAATGATCCAGAATACCTTGCTCAGTTCAGTAGTATGGTTCAGTAGCAAAACCGAAAGATGTTCCACGATATAACAGGTAAGTTGAGGTAAGTATGTCTCTCCCCGATTTATAAATACTTTTTCTATATGTGTTTGTGTTTGTGTGTGTGTGTGTGTGTTTGTTTGGGTGTCCCTCCCTTAAGCCCTATTGATTCCATCTACTGCTTCTGCTTCAGGGGGTTTTGGGATATTTTTGGAAATATTTTCTCTCCGTTTATTTCTCCTTTCTTCGTTTAGGTAGAAAGTTATTTCGCTTGAATAACTTTGTTTGGTTTTCTTTGTTGCTGCTGTTGTTTGTTTTTTTGAGGGGGGTAGCAAAGAGAAACAAACTATTTAGTGAAAAGGTTTTTCATAAATTATGTACAAAAATATTCCCATTTGAATGGCGGGATGGTGTAGGAGGGCGGTCGGAGTTTTGCTTAGCAGCGACAGGTTGATGGCATTTTTGGGGGAAATCCCCCCTGTTGTTCTCACACACAAATCAATATACCCTCTAACCCCCCCTTAGGTGCGTGAGTGTGTTGTTTTGGGACAGGTATTGTTTGCTCTCACTGTCGCTCGCATGGTAAACCAGGGGATATAGCCACCAGAGCCCCACTAGAGCCACCAGTCTTATATGGCCTGAACATTTTGCCTGGCAAAAAGCTTTTTAGTTTATGTTGGTTTTTCTGCAATAATAATCGTAGGGATGGAAGGGCATTAAGTCAAAACTGGAGTTGCAAAAAAAAACAAATGCCAAATCAATGTTCCAAGCGACTGTCTCTCTTGGTCTCTCTCTTGCTCTTTTTCTGTCACTCTCTACCTCTCTCTCTCTCTCTGCCTGCCACTCTGCGTGAGTGGCATGTGTGTATTGTGCGATAAAAGTTGAGACTCGTGCCAGTTTCGAGCTGTAACCAAAAACGCATACAACAAAAAGAAAACAGACCAAACAAAAGAGCAAAAAAAAAAAACAAATGGAACACCGAAAGAACTTCTGTTCCAGCTGCTGCTGCTGATGTCGAAGGTATTGATACCCTGGAACAACGCTAACCCAATAAATCTTTACCTAACGATCATTCACATGGAGTGTCCAATGTTTGGCTTCCTTTTGGCTGCGTAACAGATAGTTGGCCAAGCCAAAAGTATTTTATTCAGTGTCAGCAGATCGACGGCCAACATCTGCCTCAAAATGCCATAATACCCTCTGAATGGACATCAAAACGAGGGGAATTACAATGTGAAAGGGAATTACAAAAACAAGCATCAACAACCACCGTTAGCGCCAAGCGTCAAGCGACAGTAGCATACTGCCTCTAGAACACCTCCTCCCCACTCCACCGCTACAATTCCCCGGCCATTCCACCATCTGTTCCCGCCCACAGAACCATAAATTTACCATTACCACTGAGCGGCTACCTCAACACTGCACCATGCCAATGCCACCGCCACCTCCCAGCCAGCTCGCACACTCTCCTGTATTTAAAAGGTGGCAACAAAAGCGACTGCCACATCGGTGACGCAACGGAACTGCGGGAGCCCCCCAAATGTCCGAGCACTTTAGCCCGAGCCCTTCCAAAAAAAAGGTGTTCAGAAATGTCTCACTTCTGATGTGAAAAAGAAAGCTTCGCCGCGGCTTTAGTTCGTACTTACGATGGGATATAAAAAAAATGAAATTAAATTCTAGAATTCCACTCAATAGAGGAAAGCTTGACTACAGAAAAAAATATAGAATATGTCTCGGAGTTACAATATTTGTAATGGAATGTAAGTATATCAAATTTGGGAATTATTTAAACGGTATAACATCTATTTCATGATTGATTAAACCATAAATGGGATCCTTGAGTAATTAGAAAGTTTCATTAGAGAGTTTTTTGAGTTCCCGATTGCGATTTCAATGGGGATTACTTTTTTTTTTTTTACTTTAAATTCAGAATGATAGTGAATAAAGAATTCCGGCAAGCGATTCCGAGTTGAGACTGCGAAATCCAATTCCCCGACTCCGACTTCAACTCCAACTCCGATTCCCGACCACTGTTTGCCAGCATTGCTGTGCATGCATTCGACGAAGTGCCGTTATATGCTATTTTCATCGTTCTATGGCAAGTGTGACACAGTGGCGTAGTGGGCCATGCTCGCGGAGGGTGTAAGCTGCCAATGGATTTGGTTGGGAAAGGACGGCCCCCCTGTCGGCCACACCACTGGCGGAGCGATGAGGCCGCAAAAGGGAAGCAGCATAAACGTTGGCACAAGAACGACACTCGACTCGACCCCCATCCGAATGCGAACCCGAATGCGACCCAAAACCCCGAACCCCATTTCCAGCTCGGCTGACTCCTGGCTCTGTCCCTGTCCGGGACTCCCATCACGCCCACAAGCGTGCCAGAGAGAGAGAGAGAGAGAAAGCGAGGGACCAACAGTCGACCGAATGCCGACGACGACGACGACCCACAGAGCGACCGAGCGAGCAGCGGCGTCAGCGTCGACGTTGACGTCGTATATACACGGTGCCGAGCAACAAATTGAGTCAGTATCGCACAAACAACACTAACGGAAACATCAACGTGAAAGCAAAAGACGGACGGACGCCCTCTGTCCGTG